GCTTAAAGGCCTGACACGTGTTTCGCCGCTGCACGACACAGCAGCGTCAGGGAGTCGGCTCATCTGTGGATCATCCAGCGTTCTGGTAGATGCTTTAGTTGTTGCTCCTTAATTTCCTCGGGAATAAATCGCTAACTTGGAGTAAATTTGTCTATTTAAAAGTATACAGGCACAGACTAAATGTGGATATGAATATTTGAGCGGTTTAGCTGCGCTGTATTCATTAAATTGCCAACGCACAGCCAGGAGTGTATGTATGAGTTAGAGGACACAGCATACTGACAGCATGTGTAGCATCTAAAAGCCTAGTTGACAGTTTACTGAATATTGCGCAGTTATTCTATGGTGGCCGAAAGATGTCGGTTGAAATATTCACCTCACCCACGGCAACATCGCCGTAAAATAGTTGCTTTTGTAGTCGTTGGTCGTCCATCCGTACCATCCTGGCAGCCTAAGGAGAGTCCTGAGGTTGGGCAGTTGTGTATTCACTGACAAACAGAGCATATAAAGCAAAAAAAAATTTGTGTGTTTGAAATCAAAATGGGATTTGAAATGTCAAGTGGACACTTTTCTACATCCGGCCTCGACTAGCGTTCTGAAGTTCTTCCTACATCTCAACCTTCCGCGTGTATCGGCGGATTGTATTTTTATAGTGAATGCCGTCCATGCTACCTAATTGAATATGCTGCCCCGCTGCTACCACAACCTGTACAATACGTTCTTTTAACATGTTCAACCAGACCCATGAAAATGTTCCCATACTCCTTTTTCTATAAGGTGGCCACTGTGATTCGGGGCAGCAATTTGGGTTCTCGGGTTCAAGCTAGTTCCTATACTGCCAGTGTGTTCTTCCGTGTTAGCTAAATATATACTTATGGTTTTCTGACGGCAGTTTAATATATCACGACAGTTCGACTGTTGCTCTCGACGAGCTTCAACAAGCTGAAGGCAGACGTGGTGACTACAGCTGAACTATAGTGAAAGTTGACTCACCGGATCTATCCCACTCTCTGACCATTCCCGCATCTGTGTCCGATGTAAAGACACATGTCGAGACAACCAAAGATAGCTGTCGAGACCAAC